TCTCTCCTATTTGACAGCCTTCCTCCATTCCTATAAGCAGACAGGTTTTGTTTACGTATGGAGTTATACACAAGCCATTGTTCTATCTGCTACTTAGCTCAAGCCAGATCTCCTTTGCCAGACCTGAGGAAGGGTACCTTGTGCCCAAAAGCTTCTCTGAGATTTCTCCCAACTTGATCCAGTAAAAGATAGTATTGCTCCAAAAAATCCTTGCCTTTCATATGTGTCCTGGATCATCATGGTTGCAACATCACTCCAACACTACCACAACTTTTAATAAAGCATAGTTGAATTCTGTGCTGGGATTATAGTCTTATGAAATTGAGGGCACTGTAACACAGAATTATGGGCTCATGTGTATGGGGAAGGAAGTGCACAGTAAGATAGGGTGTGAATTTATAGTGCAATGCTTTTGTGAGAGGTGGTTTTACTTTGAGTAGCGTGAACTGCTTCCTTCTTAATATATACAAAGTGTGTTAGGGCAGAATAAGTGATATGCAGTAAATTCAAACCTAAATTCGCTGCATGCCAGCTTCCCTTTACAGATCAGATAAGCCTTTAGCTGCCTAGTCAACACTATTTACTTTGACAAAATAATGTTATATTGTTCTAATACTTTCAGTATATAGTATGAGTATGCCACACTGGATGGGGTAACCAATAGAGGTTTATGCGTACCTACATAAACCGTACTATCAGTTTAATTCTTTCATGATCTCCTTCATATAAAATTGTTAATCTTCAATTTCTGTATTTTTAGTGGATTAGGGGAAAGTTCTGAAATAGAAAGAAAAATTATACGGGCTGTTTTGAATGAGGTAACTGGTCTCATAAAGTATATGTTAAACACATCTGCTGAAGTCATGTTTGGCTGTTGGCTTAGTTAAACAGCAGAATGGCTTTTAGTTGATCAGCTTTGTGATCATTGGAAAGGACTGCTTTAGTTAGTTGGATGCATTATTAAAAAGCACATTTGATGATGGCACATAACTTGTTTAAAAATTATATTAAAAGAGGATTTTAATGTAGTTTAAGGTTTAATAGATTTACACCCTACTGACTTAGAAGTGTATTGCACAAATTGTTCGCTACCTTTTCTTCAGTTATCTGAAATCCATGAGGTAGTCCCAACAGTTGTTAAAAAGCAGTGCCATACTAACATTTGTCCTAGGTTCTCTCAGGACCAGATGTCAAATCACCTGAGGTTTTTTTTTTATAGAAATGCATTCTGTACAAAGAAAGGAAGCAAAAAGAGAGGCACCAAATCTGGAGCTCTTAAGTACAGACACAGGGGGGTAGGATTCAAGTGCACTTTCCTTTAATTTTCTTGATAAGCAAGATTCCATAAAGTAGGGGTGTGTGAAATGGGCCGTATTGGATTCGGATTCAGCCCAAATCAGGGACAGTGATTCAATTTGTTGATTTGGCTAACTGTCCTGATTTAATTTGGCAATATCCAAATCTGAAGATTTTGATGTTGATTTGGAGAATGAGCCATTCAGCCATAGACACAGCTTTAAATGTTTTTTCTACAGAACTTGAGGTACTAGGCGTGGCTCGTGAACGCTGCAGTGGTGGGGCGGATGGAACGTTCCACAGGAGCGCGGTGGGGCGCCCCGCGTGCTTGGTAGCGAACCCAGAAGTGGACTGGAAGTACTTCTGACCCACTTCTGGGTCTGCCTCCAAGCATGCGGCAGGGCCACTGCATGCCCCCTCTGGCTCAGTGATGGGCCAGGGGGGGACCCCAGGTACCCCCCAGACGCAGGAGGCACCAATTGCTGAGCTGGGGAGGTGTGGGGCGGGGGGCCCTGCGCGCTTGCCAGCGGACCTGGAAGTGGACTGAAAGTGCTTCTGGTCCACTTCCGGGTCTGCTGCTGAGCACGCTGGGAATCCCCCTATGTTCCTATGGGACGTTCCATCTGTCCCAGCAACTCAGCATTCATGAGCTGCCTGGTACCTTGAGGTATGTAGAAAAATATTTAAAGTTGTGTTTGTCTGAATCATCAAATCTTCTGAATCGATTTGGAGGGTTCCGATTCAATTCGGAGAAATTAAAGGGTCTCCTGATTCAGTTTGGATCCAGAGATTCGGCCACCAAATTGGGCTGAATCTCCGCTGAATCAAATCAGCGACCAAATCTTTGCACAGCCGTACCATAAAAATTCAGCTGCCAAAACCCATCATTTATCAGGAGGCATGCTTGTTCACTTTTGCTTTTTGATCAAGGGTTGGCAGTGTTTTTGGGCCAAAAAACACCTGCAACCTTGACTTGTAAGATGTTGGCATGCCAGGGTGGACAGCAGGGGAAGCTATATATACGATTATTTGAGACTTGTAACAGACAGAAGTAGAATGAAGTTAGACATCAGCACCTACGTTTCAGCACTCAGGATTTTAAAACGTAGAGCATTATTCTGTGTACTAATAAATCAGATCTCTTAGTTGTGTTCCTTGTACTGCAGAATTAAAACAACTGTCAAGAAACAATTTGTTTTCATTGAAAATGTGCATTGTTGTTCTAGCTGAGCGGCTGGTCATTTAACTTCATTTAGAAATACCTCGCTAGCTGCTTTATTGGATGCACTTCGTGTAGTTATACCATTAACAAATGTGAAAGGTTTGACTCCTTACTAATTTTGACTTTTTACATCTGACAGATATTTTTTATACTCTGTAAACAGAAATAACTTTTCTGCCTTTGTCAGTAAGAATAAGTTCCAGCAATGTTTAACTCCAGAAGCAAAAGGTCACACATATATATATTTATTAGATTGCCTCAAAATGGAGATGATCGTATTTCCTTTGTTTTTTTTTTTTTTTTAAGGGATACTTAGAGACTAGTAAACATTATTCCATGGGTTGTAAAGAATAGGTCAAATGTTAGGCTTAATGAGATATTGATGTTAACTAATGTATATTTCTTATCTTTTTTTTTGTAGGTATCTATGCCGGCAGCTCATGCAACATCATCTGCTCCCACTGTGACATTAGTACAGTTGCCTAATGGGCAGACAGTTCAGGTCCATGGAGTTATTCAGGCAGCCCAGCCATCAGTTATTCAATCTCCACAGGTCCAAACGGTTCAAGTATGTATTACAGGATTTCATACTGTATTGTACGAGTCTACATTTTTCTAATTTCTGTCCTAATGTATGTTTAGTCTTTTACAGACTTAGTACATTTTGAAAGAACAATCTTTACAGAATTTATCACATCACTTTGTTCTATTTTTTCTTGATTTGACTTTTCTTTTGAATCAATGCGTTACTATTTCATTTCCTTCTAGAACTTTGTTAGTGAATGTAAGTCTAGTAGTTTTCTTCTGTTTGCTACAAGTACTGTATTTGGCTTTTATCTGCTATTTTGCATGCTTGTTTATTAACTGAAATGTCGTACCTGAGTATCTGAAATAAACAATGACAATTTTAGGGGAATTATGCTTCTGGATTACTAATGTCAGCTAATGTTTGCTACTTGGGAAATATTTATAATGATTTTTATCTCTGTCAGGTTGCAAGTTAATATTTGTATTTTGATTGTTAACTTTGTAAAACTTTAATTAATTTATGCTTTATAAACAATAAAAGATAATGACATGTAGGATGAAGGGCTAATTCTAAAATAGTTGAAATGTATAGGGGGAAAGTTGCCAGTAGTCCACAAGTCTTTGCTGTCATTCCCTTTTTGAAAATTCTGTAATTGTCCTTTAATCCATTGTTGTTGAACATGGGAACAGATACTAATAAGGATATCACTAACTGTATGGGAAAAGAATGGTCTCTCATTTCTCTGGTATTAGGAGCTACCATGATAAGAACTATCAAGATTTTAAAGCTAACTTAATATTTTTCTATACAGATATTTAATCAGATACCAAAAATTGATGATACATTCTGATGACACATTCAAATAATGTTTATTCACTCAATGTTGTATTTTTACCAGTCCCTGACTACTTCTGAGTTTAGTCTTTTACTTATTTGAATGTGGAGTTGAGCAGATTTCAGATGATATGGGGCACTGGTTTCCAGCTCTGGTAATTAAAGATAAGAGGCTGATAATGAAATCATACTGGAATTCAAAAGAGTTCATACTGAAAGGCCAGAATGTATTTGGAATATTTAGAGTCCAGCACTTCAGAGTCTGCCATGGTTATAAGCAAATATTGTCAGTGAAAGTTAAGCACAAAACTGCCAATTGTACCTGTAGGCCATCCTACATGTGTTTGTTCCTGTTGGCTAATAGCCTCATTGGTTTCTATACATTTAACGATTACATTTGCTAGAGGGGGAGGGGAAGAGTCTCCGTGTTTATACATTTTATAACCTGAAACTCAAGCTTGTGTCATCTTTCTGATACAATGAACTGTCAAAGCATGTCCTCCTGGCCTCAAGTGGCCAGGTCAGCCTCCTTGTCTGCCCTCCAGCTGGGTCCCCAGTGCTGGCCCTGGCAGGCTTCTCTGCCCTGATCTCACAACTTGTCTCACCAGCAGAGGTCTTGGTGTTCCCTGTTTGAAAACTGCAAATTCTCTGATAAACCCACATTTTCTCATTAAAATACCCAAAATCCATGTTCTTCTATGATTAAAATGAGACGCCACTATGTATAGAGACATCAGTTGGGCAATGTTTTATTGATATATTTACAATTTTAAAGCTATTTGGAAGCCTACCAGTGCCTCTGTCATAATCATAAACAAATTCTAAATAACTATATACTTTGGCATTTGCTTTGGGTTTTTTTATCATAGAAAAAGCAGAGCTGTCTCTGCCCCCATGGCTTACCAGAATGTATGGCGCTGAGCAGCACTGATATGCCAGTGCCCTGCCCCTGCCCCTCATGCTCAGCCCACAGCCTCCCACCCCTGAGTGCCCCTCACTCCTGACCTATAGCCCTGGCCTGCCTGCACTAGCTCCCTTCCAGCAGCTGATCCCTGGTCCTGTTCCGAGGCCCCAGCAATCCCCATGCCATTCTTGGGAAGCCCTTGACTGGGGCTCAGGGACTGAACTGAGCAATCTCCTTCCCTTCCAAGCCGGACTTCCCCTGCACAGGCTGCCTTAGGGGGGCGGGGGGCTCTAAGCCTGAATCAAACAGCCTCTCCTACCTGGAGCACTCTCCCG